AACTCATGCTGGGCGTATGTGTGTACATGCCCAAGATCCCAAGAGGAGAATGGAGAAGGGATTGTGGCATGGCCATCCCCCCTGGTTGTTGATTTCTCACTTTCTATCTCTGTCTCTCTTGTCTTTCTGGCAAATGCATGTGGCCTATAGCCAAAAAACACTAAAATAAATAAATAAATAAAAGGGTGTGTGTGTTTGCTGAAGAGAGAGAGAAAGAAGGAAGGTGAGGAATCACCCCTCCGGGGAATGCCCACACCAAGATTCCTTCTCCTCCATACTTCTTTCAGGATTTGGGACATGCATGCACACGTGCCTGGTGTGATTTTCAAGCTGCTGAGTCCAGGACTTGAACCATGGAGTCAGCCATGTGGGATCTGGTGCCTTAATGACTGCAATTGCTGACCCAGTTATTTACATTTTTTAAGAGATGGATTGTTTAAGCTAGCATCTTTGAAAGTTAACTAGTTCTACTTTATTTTTTTAAGTATCATTATGAACTCATGGATTTAAATATATTCCTTTCAGTTCACTCCATTTACACTTACTGATGCTGGAATGTCCCATTTTTGGCCAGTGGAAGCCTCTTGAACTTGGCCCCCTGCCCTATGGAGTTTTATATTTTAGTGAATAGATGCATATATATTTGCATAAACAAACACCTATGCTGAACTGTTCTTTTGGGTTTATACTTAATGTATATTGGAGATAGTCCCACATCAGTCTGTATAGATAGAACTGTTCTATATTTTGTTAACACCCATATGTCTGTTTTATAACTATAACATAGTTTAACAAATCTTAATTGTTGGACAATTTTTATTATTACCTTGAAATACTATAAACAGTGCTATGGTGAGTGTCTTGGTACATACTACTTTGCCTACACATGTGAATATAGCTGTAAGATCAATTCCCAGAAATGAAATAGCTAAGTAATAGCTATTGCAAAATTGCTTTCCACGGGGCAATTAAGAACTATTTTTTGTTTTGTTTTGTTTTGTTTATCCCCTCGGGACCAGCGGATGGCATAGTGGTTAAGGAACTGGACATTCCCACGTGTTCACCACGATTCAAGTCCCAGATCTGGTGGCTTACTTTCTCACTTTCTCTCTCTCTCTCTGTCTCTCTCTGGTCAAATAAAATGAATAAATAAATAAAATTAAGTAAATAATTCTTTTTTAAAAAGGACTTTTTTTCCTCATAGCTCAACAATACCAATATGTTATAAAGCTTTTTATTTTTGGTAATCATTGCAAAAAATATCTTATTGTAGGACCAGTTTTGTTGCCTAGTGGTTAAGGGAGCCAGATCCCACATGGCCAGCCGTGGTCCAGCCACAGTGTCTTGGAAAATACACTGGGCACATGTTTTGAATGAGCTCCAAATTCTGACAAGGTGGAAGAGAAGAAATTGTGATGTTATGGTATTACCACACTCCTATTAGGGGTTGCTCTCTCCTCTCTCTCTCTGGCAAGCATGCTCACATTCTGGCAATAAAAAAGTATTGGGGTCATCTCTGGTGAGCACATGTACCCTATGGTGGTAATATCCGGACCTGGCAGCTTCAACTCATGCCGGGCGCGTGTGTGTGCGTGCCCACGGATCCCAAGAGGAGAATGGAGGAGGAGGGAATCCGCGTGGGCATCCACCCTGGGGGGTGATTTCTCACTTTCTGTCTCCCTGTCTCAGTATTTCTAGGGAGCACACGAGCCCTATAGCAAAAAACCTCTCCAAAAAGAAAAAAATGGGTTGTCGGAAAAGTCATGATGCATTTTTGCATAGAAAAATATGTAGTGACTTTACCAATGACCCAATATATATCAGGGGCCAGCAGGTAGTGTGGTAGTTAAGGCACTAGACTCACACATCGCCATCCATGGTTTGAGACCTGGCAGCTTGCTTTTTCACTTCCTGTGTCTTTGTGTCTCTCTCATCAAATTATATAATAACAAATGAATAAATAATTATTTTAAAATATTGTATCATTTTAATTTTTACTTAATTATCAATTGTTCATATCCTTGTTCCAATTCTTTATTTGATTCATCTTCTTTTTTTTATAGAGATTTATAGGCACTCATATATAAAGGAAATTACCATTATATGTTACAGATATTTCTTCCTATTTGTGTTTCTTTTTTTTTTTTTTTTTGGAGAGGTTTTTGCTATAGGGCGCGTGTGCGCTCTCCAGACAGACAGAGAGACAGAAAGCAAGAAATCACCCCCCAGGGGGGATGGCCATGCCACAGTCCCTTCTTCTCCATCCTCCTCTCGGGATCTTGGGCACGCACGCACACGCACCCGGTGTGAGTTTTAAGCCACTGGGTCCGGGACATGAACCACAGTCAACTACATGGGAGTCCAGCGACATAGCCATTACACTAACTGCTGGTCCCCCTATTTGTGTTTCTTCATTTGACTATATTTGTGGCGTATATTTTCCAAGAACAATTTTAATTTGTTTTGTATGTTACTTTAAATTATTAGATTGTGGTGTTTTCTTAAATCCAAAGTTAGAGAAGAGGTGTGATACAAAGAATTTTATTATATTTACCTTCTGAACCTTTCAAGAATTAAGTTGCCAACCTGTTGAACTATTATTGCCATAGATTTTGATGTACTTTTCTTTCTTTTTTTAAGGATTATTTTATTTAACTTTATTTATTTTTAAATTTTGACCAGAGTGAGAGAAAAAGAGAGAGTGAGAAAGCAAGCCTCCAGATCCAGGACTCAAACCACAGTTGGCCATGTGGGAGTCCAGCCCCCTTAACTACCACACCACCTGCCAGCCCTAGATTTTGGTTTATTTTTCTTACAAACAACAATGTTCTAAATAACTGTGCAACAACTATTAGATTCAACGTAAGATTGATACACTACTACTGTCTTGTCTTTAGACTCCATCCAGTTTGCACTAAATATCCTCATAGCATCCTTTTTTGCAAGATAATCAGGTTTAGAATTAAATGTTGCATTTAGTTGCCACATTTTTTAGTTTTCTTCAATTCACCAAAATCCTTCAGTTTGGAATTCTTCCTCATACTTTCTTTGAATTTCAAGATTTTGATACTTTTAAATGCTTATAGACCATTTATCTTATAGAACAAATCTGAGTTTGTTTCTTTATTATTAGATTCATCTTGGGGACCAGCAGTTAGCGTAATAGCTATGTCACTGGACTCCCATGTAGTCGACCATGGTTCGCGTCCTGGACCCAGTGGCTTAAAACTCACGCCGGGCGTGTGTGCGTGCATGCCCAAGATCCCCAGAGAATGGAGGAGAAGGGATTGCGGCGTGGCCATCCCCCCTGGGGGGTGATTTCTCTCTTTCTATCTCTCTGTCTCTCTCTGTCTGTCTGGCGAGCGCATGCACCCTGTAGCGAAAACCTCCCCCCCCCAGAAAAAAAAAAAAGATTCATCCTTGTCAGGGCTATAGAAGAGCTGTGATCTTATTATATGTTTTCAGGTGACACACAATTTGTTCAATATATTAATGATTTTGTTCACCTTACCCACTTGATAAAGGAAGTGTCTAACTGGCATCTCAATGATAAAGTTACTCTTTATCAGGCCAGCCTGTAGCGTAGTGATAGAAATGGCTGGAACCGACATGGTCAACAGTGTGGTTCAGGCCCTAACTCAGCAGCTTGAAAAGCACACCAGGTGTGTGTGCATGTGTCCCCAGAATCCCAAGTGGATAATGGAGAAGGGATTGCAGCATGACCATCACCACCTCTGGGGATAGGAGGTTCACTCTCAGGCAAGCAGACCACTCCCCGTAGCAAATTAAAAAAAAAAAAAAATTAAGTTATTCTTTTTTCCACTTTAAAGTATTTTGTGGAGAGATATTTTATATATTCCATTTATCTTCAGATGTTCATTTATTTTTATCAGTATGGATTTATGGGTTGCTATTCTGTTCTGTAGGTTATTATTTTTAGTCTTTATTAATTTTTATGTTCCAATATAATTTTGTCAAGAGAGAGTCTTTTAAGGCTGACTCCTATGTCCTTTCCGACATGTCCTCATTATTCTTTGAGTATTTTCTTGCTTTCTGCCATACGATTTTCAGGCTCATCTCTCCTGCGCTGGCCCTGGAATTGACCATTTCTCCCAGGAGTGTTCATTCCTTTTTTAGAAGACAAGATCCAATTGCTAGTTATGCTCATTGCTTTGGGAATACAGCGGCTCACACTGTAATGGACAGAGCTAGGGAATATATATATATACATGCATTCAATCATACATGTTTATATTTATTTCTATATTGATGCTTGGAAACCATGAGTTCTCATTGATAATTCCAATTCTGGTCTAACAGTCAACAGTTTATTCTACCTTTTTCTCTTTTTACATTTATAAATTCCTTCTCTGACAGTGAAACTTGTAGCTTTTATTATCTCATTTACTTATTTGATCAATCTCTGATTTATGTAAATTTCTATTTCTGTCATTCCCTTTCTTGTGCTAAGCCTTACTTCTCTTGTTCTGGCTCTGACTTCTCATTTCAGGCCACTCTTCCTATCCCACTCAGACTTCTTCCTTACCTTTCTTGAACTAAACACAATAATGCCAGACCATACTTTGCATAAACACCTTTTTCATCTTATTTAATATCTGATACCGTATGCTGAGCTATCCTTGTCCATAGAAAACCTTCTCGCCTTGCTTTGACTATCGATACCCCTTGCCAAGCTATACTCTTTATCCTAATTTGAAGTTAAAAAATTTGCTACTCCTAGGGGCTGGCAGGTGGCATGGGCCAACTGTGGTTCAAGTCCTGGACCTCTGGTGGCTTGCTTTCTCACTTTCTCTCTCTCTTTCTCTTTCTCTGTTCCTTCTGTTCTAAATAAATAAATAAACAAATAAATAAATAAAAATCTGGTCGAATAAAAGAAATTTAAATAAAACAATTCTTTAAAAAAACGTTTACTACTCCCATAGAACTTTTTTTAAAAATGAATATAATTTTTCTTACCTCTTTTTTTCATTACAGATGATGATGTACCTGCAGATATGGTTGCAGAAGAATCAGGTCCTGGTGCACAAAATAGTCCATACCAACTTCGTAGAAAAACTCTTTTACCGAAAAGAACAGCGTGTCCTACAAAGAGCAGCATGGAGGTAGGTTAAACATATTTTTGTAATGAAAAAAACTTTTGGAAAACAAACAGAAAAGGGATGATACTGATTTTTAGAAGTAATAATTATATATGGTAAAAATACTTGCTTTTTTTTTTTTTCACTCATCACTTTGTTGTTATTTTTTGAAGGGTGCCTCAACCTCAACTACAGAAAACTTTGGTCATCGTGCAAAACGTGCAAGAGTGTCTGGAAAATCACAAGATCTATCAGGTATTTTCTATGAGGAAACCAAGGGGTAGGGTAAAGTAATTTTTTAAAATTTTATTTGATACCAAAAAATTAAAATGAAATGTGTTTGAATATTACATTTGGGATTGAGAAAGTAATTATTATATAGAAGCTATATTAGAACCCTCGCCTCTTCCTCTCAGACTTGTACAAAAAGACTTCTTACATATTTATTTTAGCCAATTTCTAAGATGACACTTAATGCCTAGAGGAAAGAATATTTGTTTAATCAAGATAAATGGATATAAGTATGTATCATCTATGAAAGTCAAATACTTATAAAATGACCATCATCCAAAAGAAACTATTCAGGGACCAGCAGATGACACAATGTTTACATCACTGGATGCCCATGTAGTCAACCACTGTTTGAATCCTGGACTCTGAGGCTTGAAACTCATGCTGGGCACATGTGTATACATGGCCAAAATTGCAAGAGGATAATGGAGAAGAAAGGAATATGGCGTGGCCATCTCCCCAGGGAGTGATTTCTTGCTTTCTGTTTTTCTCTGTCTCTCTGGCAAGTTACATGTGCCCTCTAGCAAAAATTTCTCTTAAAAAAAAAAAAACAACTAAGCTATTCATTAAAATGAAGACTTCTTGGGACCAGCCATGTAATGGTTACATCACTGGACTCCCCTGTTGTCAACCACAGTTCAAGTCCTAGACCTGGCGGCTTCAAACTCAGGCTGGGTGTATGTGAATGTGTGCCCAGGATCCCAAGAGGAGAATGAAGGAAAAGGGATTGTGGTGTGGCCATCCCCCCTGGGGGGTGATTTCAATGAAAACTTCTTTAAATAACAAAAATATTCCAGTGTGATAGATTGGTTATATTCTGTTTAATCTCTTTATAGCAGCACCTGC